TACTAACTTTCGTAAGGGTATGGGTTTTGTCCTTTGTGTGCATAAGGACAAGACAACAACAATCGTGTTAAGCAAGCTTCCTATGATTGTTGAATGCTGGAATGAACTGAAGGTCTCATCATCATTCGCTGAAGCTTGAGCAGTCTTCACACATATGTAGATAGACTTGTAATCACTGAATACCGCTTCAAATCACGTACTCGTCGGTCTCTAATCTTCAGTTTCAGTCTTCGACATTTGCTGAAGGTTCTTTGGTGTGAGTGTTGTCTTCTTGAATTATTGCTGTCTCTGATAGATTTACAATACAAGTTCTTCAGCGATCACTGAACATACTCAGTGAAGATCGCTGGAACTGAAAATACAGAAACATAAATACAACGTATAAGTGAAAAAGGATTATCATCAAATCACTGATAGAGAGGATCAACATATAATTATTGTCATAATTTTATGTTCTGAAATTACATTTTTAATCTCGTTCATCTGTAGATTCGATCGTTTCTAGGACACATGAGACCACTTCTTATAATGGACGATGCCCATCTGAAGGGGCCGTACGTTGGCACCATGTTCTTAGCGGTCGACATGGATGGAAACAATGGTATCGTACCCATTGTAATGGGAGTGGGGAAGACCAAAAGTGGCCCGTCATGGACATGGTTTTTACGTAAGCTTAGGCAGTGTATCAGTGATGTGCCCAATATAACCTTCGTCACCGATAGGGCTGCCTCTATCGACCTGACCATACGAATTGTATTTCCTTCTGTGCACCATGGACTTTGTTGTCGGCATCTGAGCCAGAACCTCCGCCTAAACTCCACTAAAGAGAAAAGGAAACGGTGGATGTTCTGCGAGGCATGCAAAGCTTACCGGTTGTCGGACTTTGAAACTACTATGGATTTGATGCGGCATAGTCTACCTAGAGCCGCTYAATATCTTGACGAAGTTGGCTACGCTAGATGGGCACGATCGCACTTCCCTGGATTGCGTTACAGTGCAATGACGTCCAATAGTGCTGAGTCCGTCAACTCAGTAACGCGGTTTGCACGCTATCTTCCGATAACAATGTTAGTTGAATTTTATCGGGCGACATTGCAACAATGGTATTTCATACGTCGGCATAACGGAGGTAAATTCAACCATCCTTTGACTATATGTTGTTTATGTAACATGTGTTAATGATATCAAATATCTGCAGCGCAAATGATGAATGCAGTGACTCCTTGGGCGGAGGCCAAATTAGAGAAGAGAATACATAGGAGCGCAAATCGGAAGGTATATCCCATCAGCGATTTGTTGTTTGAAGTTGACGACCGCTATAAGAAAGGAACGTGTGATTTGCATGCTAAAACTTGTACATGCATGCAATGGCAACTTTCTGGAATAGCTTGCGGTCATGTGATTTATGTTGCTCGAAGTTTATATATTCAAGACTGCAGTCAATTCTGTTCTGTTTGGTTCAATTCCGACTCTTACCGTGCAACATACGAGGAGGAAGTCATTCCCCTTCCACCAGAAGCTGAATATGGTTGCCCAACAAATGTTTGATTGTCCTACCGCCTCCGTTGGACATACAAAACTCAGGCATGTCCTCGCATTGCACCATCCAATTCACTAAACACGAGTCTGAATAAGGGTTCGATAAATCCAACCAAGGGCCAAAACATGTGTTTCTAAACATGTTCAGATGCATGTCGTTGTCCCCGAGTGCTTTTTTTATATCTTTAATTACTGAGGTCTGAGCCCTCAAAGTAAGTAGAGATTCGTATGTCCCCTGAAATACAAATTTATTTTGTATAAATACATAGATAGATACATATATATGGAGATACATAACCGAAGATATATACATACATTTTAGAAAAAAAAATACAAATAGACGTATAAATTGCGACATACATTACGTTAAAAAAAGCGATATAAATCGCGGTAACATATATGTATATATATATATATTACGTAAAAAAAGCGATATAGATTGCGGTAACTTATATATATATATATATATAGATACGTAACTTAAAAAAAGCGATATAAATTGCGGTAAAGTATATATATATATATATATATATATATAGAGAGAGAGAGAGAGAGATGCATAACGTAAAAAAAAGTGATATAAATTGCGGTAACGTATATATATATATATATAGAGAGAGATGCGTAACTTAAAAAAAGCGATATAAATTGCGGTAACGTATATATATAGAGATGCATTACGTAAAAAAAAAACGATATAAATTGCGGTAACGTATATATAAATAGAGATGCATTACGTAAAAAAAAGATATAAACAATACAAAAATTGAAACTTCGTATTTTATACGTATATATGTAAGTTATTATATGTCCCCAACAAATGTCACACAAGAATACTACGGAGTATATGAACCTATAGGGTCCCACACAAAGAATATGTTTGCCTCTATTTTAGAAATTCAAGTTAAATCACGTTGATTATTGAAATAATTATTCTTGGGGGATAATTATGAAAAATATGTGTTTAAGTGTAATCATGATAATTACAGAGTGTTATCTGTAAATGAGTATAATCAAATTAAAGTTTAAGATATTTACTAAAACCTACGGCCAGTCCTGAGATTTTGGATACCCATGGTAGCAAGCCAAAAAATGGCCCTTATATGTGTATATAAAATCCAAAATAAACTATTTGAAAGGGTTTGGAACCTAATCAATTTAGGCAGCTCATCTCGTGCTGATTTGTTTTAAATATAACAAAAATGATGGAACGGGGGGACTTAAACCAAAACCCCGTGTAACAAAATATAAAATACATCGCCATCACCTAAAACGATGCCTTCTTGCGTTTTTTGAAGCAAAAATATCTATCACTTAGTCATAAACTAATATTAGCTAAAAGCTTACGCTCAATACTCAAGATTGCTAACCCGTTCAATTTTTCTTGACTCATGGTAAACCGTRGATATGACTTCAACGACTTTAACTTCGAAAAGCTTCTTTCCGCAAATGCTACGGTGGCTGGTACGTTGAATTATTCCAAAAAAAATTATATAAATACGTTAAATTATTCCAAAAAAATATCTAGCTTTTCCACAAGTATTGGCTATGTCGTACAAGGTCAAATTAAAACTATGAGAAACACAAGTATTAGTATGCTCTATGATATATCTAAGAGTTTCTTTTTCACCCCTTAATGTTTCTCCTTCATGTTTTTGAGCAACTATATCAATAGTTTGATTCTTTTGAAGTCGTAAACACAAATCGTACCAAGTTTTCATATTCATAATTGCTCAAAACTTGTTTCATGCTTCTTAAGTCTAGTGTTAAGATATGACCAATCCCCAAATCCATCATTTGATAAATGACCTTATACATGTTTCTTTTTAAAAAACTTACAACAAAAACAAAATACTTTATCGAGTTATACCTAATGCATAAGCCAATCTCTATCACATTTCTTCCCATTTGATAAAATTCTAGTATAACATGTAGCAGAAAATCGTTTCGAAAGTCTATCTTTAGGACCTTTACAAATAGAAAAATCTCTTAGGACCCCTTGAAACTAAGATATCAATCATTTTAGAATCTAAAGTATCCAATTTTTGGATCAAATATATCAAAACTTTAAAAGCATTATCATTAACATTATTAGCATTAACATGATTAGAAACATTAGTAAAGCATCATGAACATCATTATAAGCATCAAAAGCATTTAAAACATCATTCATATCATTGGCATTAGCATGAATATCATCCAAACCAACACTAGCATCATTAAGATTTTCAACTACACCAAATTAGGATTTTCATTAGAATCAACATGAATATCATCCAAATTAACATTACCATAAACATGCATATCATCCAAATTAACATTAGCATAAACATGCATATCATCCAAATTAACATTNATATCATCCAAATTAACATTACCATAAACATGCATATCATCCAAATTAACATTAGCATAAACATGCATATCATCCAAATTAACATTCGCATCAACGAAATCAGGAAATCACAGACGCAAATCAACATCTTTCATTGAACAATGAACAAGAGATATAAGAGATTAAGGTAAACATGGTTGGAATTCAATCATCACATTCGCCATTGGGAAAGCAAAATCAGGGGAGATCAATCGTCAAGTTAGAGAGTGAAATCCGATCGAGGCTGTTTCGATATCTTTAATTGCTTAAAAATTTTAATTTCTCAATTCGGCTATTTTAAAATCTCAGTTAGGCCGGAAAATTGGGCTAAATTATTGGCTTAATAGTAAAATATATATAACTAAGGTACCTATATATAATTGGGCCCCAAAAAAGTTTATTTATAAAAATAAATTCGAAATCTCACATTGGTACATCTTACGACTCATCCTGAATACCTCGTAGGTGAGGGTGAGGGTGACTCTTACTAATTAGCGCTTACAGAATGATATTATTATCTGCTAATGACTCAAATGATAGACCTGATATGACATTTGATGTTAAAAGTAGCTCCTTCAACCATATCCAATAGAAACACCAAATCTTCCACTAAAGTTGGTAACACACCAAATTTGATGTAACATTATTCATTTATATTTAGGGGGTGTTTGAGATTGCTTATAAAAAGAACTAATATTGACTTATTCCGGTGTGACACCGATAATAAGCACTTTTGAGTGTTTGGATAAACAACTTATACCGGTGCCAAACCGGTAATAAGGAGGTTTTGAAAAAGTTAAACCATTCTAACTTATAAGAAGTTGATAAGGACTTTTGTAGAAAAATATAAGTTGTTTCATATAAGTAATTCCAAACACCGCCTTAATTTTACATCAACCAGACAAGACAAAAAGGAATGTACTAAAAATGTTACATTTTAATGTAAGATTTGATATTACCCATTAAAGAATATTTATTGTTTTAGATGTGGTGTTAGGCGTTTATACATAATAGGCAACATTTGAAATAAGTGTAATAAACCCATATGCATAAAAACATGGTGATCAACCGATCTTTAAGTTTATAATAATTGTATTACAATTATCTGGTAGAAAGTGTCCCCATCCGAGAGAATTGCAACCTCAAGAAGTGCTCTATATGAGATGTGTATTCAATTTGTAGTTTATGTGAAGGAATTATTGTAGAAATTTTCTCATCACTCAATTTGCGGGAGAGGGGAAATAAATAAGATTATTAGTTGTGTATCCGTACAATGTGGCGGGATACAAAATATTCATTATAATTTATAAAGTTTCAAAATATTAAATCTTTTCAAGACGTCATAAAGTCTACTACATATGTACCTATGTTAGATTCAAATAACCATCCATTCAAAACGTTGGTGTTGGTAGCTTTTACACATAAAAATAGAACAAATCTTGATACTAAATGTGTATAATAACAAACCCTTTTTAAAACATATAGATGTTTTAAATAAATTTTTGGGGTCATGCCCACTCCAACTCGATCTTTATTCAAAATGATTAAAAATTACAAAATTATACACATAACCTATTTTACAGAAAGAATGTGTCTACCCAAAATATATTTTGAGTACTCTTTCGAATGAGACTTAATTTTAAAACCCAACTCAATATGAGACCTACTTCAACCCTATTATATTTAATGACGTCTCAATATACTTCTTTCAAGACTAATCCCTTGTGCCTACTTCATTGTCTTTATCATATATCTATCATCATTCACATGTAAAAGAAGTTGTCATTTTTCCCGGAGAACAGAGCTCCGAAGATCCTCATCCCATAAACCAAAAACATGTAATCATTTGGATCCACGTTATATAATTTCCTAAGAGTCCTAAAACAATACTAAAAAATGGCAACCACATATTTGTATTAGCTTAACCAAGTTAAAGCAAGATTTTACAAAATCAAGCAGATGCAAAATGAACATTATTACCAAAAATAAATCAAATATACCATAAAATTTGCAAATGATATAAAACTTTAGGAGGCAAACCTGAAAACCAACCGGCAGTTAAAATCACATGACTAATAAGGTGGAGTGTGTTTGGATCCCTCGTGTAGATATCTGGTCCATAACCTTAACTTCTCGTCGGTATCAAAAGTTGTAAGCTTCAAAACAAACGACTTAGTTGGAGCAAGTCGCCCTATAGAATGTCTGGAATCGTACCATTAATTAATAACAAGTATGAACACTTGCCAAATGCATGAATACAAATACATTTTACAACTGTACAAATTAATATACAGATAGGGTGGTAATAATGGTCTATATTGCACAACTTTATAGCATTCAGGTATAATTTCACTGGCCATGCAGTTAACAAAACCGAGTGGGTTTATGATGACTTGCTCGTGTTCAGGAGCTATGACACAAAGTGGGCAGTTCTTGCCAGTTCTTCAGGCTAGGTATCATACTCTTTGTTCCAAAAGTTTTTAGATAATACATGTATCCCAACGATAACTACATCTAAGAGATACAAAAACTTGGAATTAAGAAATCAAATATGTCTACTTTAAAGATTGGAATAGAACAGATTAACCGGAAAGTAGCCACATTTTCAAAAGCATAAGCATTCCTTCAAGTGTTA